AGTGTCCTTTCCCTGTTGGTCTTCTCTGAATACATAAAATGTTTCACCATACATTTTGCCACCGAAAGAAAAGCTTTGTTCGTTTATTGTCCTCTGCGAGCAAAGTGACTCTAATTGTGCTTGTGATCGAAAAACAAAATTATAGTGTGACAGTGAGAGCAGATGGAGAAAAGACAGAATGAGGGAGCGAGACAGCATATATCTCATGAATGAAGTGAGTAACGACAGCAAGACTGAGAAACGACTGATCGAGGAGGGACACAGCAAATGAAGGATGAGCACAGGGAGGGAATGACAATGAAGCTATGATTCAGATGAGTCAGTGAATAAGGGAGTGAATGAATGGCTCAAGTGATGAAGGTATGGATGGGTGAAGAGAGAAACTGAGTGATGACGAGGTAGAGAAAGAAGGTGATGAGGGAGAGCAGGTGCCACCAGGAGGGGAAGGAGACTGATGGAGAGACTAAAGAGTTTAGGGAAACCAGAGAGGGTTAAATCAAGGGCAAATGGACTTGGTTGAAGGTACTTAAAGATGTTTGAGCCTCTTGGATGACAGGCCAAATCTCTTGGATGAGATGCGCCACATCTTGGATAAGAGGCGAAACATCTTCAAGTACCTTCAACCAAGTCCACTTGCCCTTGATGTAACCCTCCATGGATAACTATTACCTGGATGACTGAGAATCTTCACAGGCAGTTGAAGGAACACAAGTATAGAGTGGAATTTAAGCTTGGAAATGTCTTTTTATAGTGATTTCTCCACGGAAAATCATGTTTTGAGTATCAAAAATCATGTTGCAACTAGTTAACCTTTTCAAACTTCTTCTGGAGCAATATCTACTTGTTAGGCTGTTGACCCTGGAAGTTGGTTGAGTTGATAAAATGTCGCTGTTCCTCCCTTTTCTTTTAACCATTGTCCTTTAACCTTTATCAAGTGATTATTTTAACCCAAACGACAATTTTCCTTAACCATAAACAAGTAGATGTTATGTCCAAACGTTTGCCTTTGGCTCGGCTTTTGAGTCAATTTTCAAATGTTTGTAAATCCTTGCTAACTGCAGCCACTATCTTAAAAAAGAGCCACCCTTAAAGCCTACGTGTGGTGAGTATTTAATACTAGGTTTTGGGGCAGCATTGTGGTGCAGTGGTTGCCACTGTTGCCTCACAGCAAGAAAGTTCGTTCGCTCATTCACCATACCCTGTAAATCAACAATAAATCCACTTAGATCCACTTCTCTAAGCCCGCAGACATAGGGCTCTCCACGTTAACTGACTTACCCCTGCCTCTGTTCTCCCTGCTTTTCCAACTTGCCAGCTTGACCTTACAACATATTAAAAACTGTTCAGCTGCTTCTGTGCCCTTTGACCCCTCTCTATACATCTCTTAGGATGTGAGAACATGTTCCAGGGCTCTGCAAACCAGCCATGTTACCCCCTTGCAGTCTAATAAAAGATCTTCCTCTCTTCATGGGAAATGACACTGACCCCCCACAGAGACATAAAGGTACTCTGTGTTTTCCTCTGCAGTCTTTCTGCAAAAACAAATGCAAATTAGCAGCTCAGGCCCACTTTTCACTGCACAGTTTCTTAATTACTTTTGCTCTTTGGCTTCATCTCCAACTAAAAAGCAGGAAGGAGTATTTCCGCAGTGATTACTACTGTCTATAGTACTGATGCACAATAAAGACGTCAAGAAGTATGTTTATGTGTTCGTCAATACTCTCTCTACGGAGAGTAATCAGCTTAAGGCAAATTTTCGATTGCAGCGTTAAGTTTGTATAATGAGCCGGTTAAAAAGGATTTATTTGATTAGCTGCGTATAGGTATCTGCATTTGAGTCCTACTTCCTGTGTTAATTACCTGAATCGCACTCACCAGACAGAATGTTGACATCACACATTTTAAAACCCTGAATCAATTGAGAGGCGGAGGCATTTTGGTCTCCAGAGGTTCCAGATTAAGACACATTTGCAAATTAGTCTTTTCATGGAAACAACATTAGGGCTAAGATGCCATCATGGTTCAGGAACTAAATCTTCTTGGTAAAATTTATGCTATGTCCAAAAACTAGAAGTGGAAGTAGCCTCTCGGTGTGAAAAGTGAAGCCAATGTGGAAATGCCATAAAGTCCAATTGCATTGTCAGTGAGTCTATGAGAAGATTACCCTGTAATTCTCACTTGATATATTATCTCAGTTAAACACTTTCTTAATGATGTTTATGTTCAAGTCTTCTTCAATACTGCATGATGTTAATTTTGTAAATAATGGTCTGATTTAGAGGAAAATAGACCATATAGAGGGGTAAGCTTTAGGGTGTGGATACCTTGGGATTGATATGTCGCTACCAGGGTGACCTGTCAGACGTAGCAAGGCGTATCGTCCCCAGCTCCACCCTTTCATTCAAATATGGTCACTTCTGGTTCCAAAAAAACAAGATGCCCACAGCCAATAAGCCAATTTCAAGGCTTCAGAACTGTAGTCCACAAAACAATGGGTGGTGTCATGCTGGCTATAGCACTCAGGGTTTAAATGCAACACTCTGCAACTGGATATAGGACTTCCTCACAAACAGACCCTAGTCGGTTTGGATTGGCTGACACACCTCCTCCACTCTAGTGCTCAACACCGGAGCCCCCCAGGGCTGTGTGCTCAGCCCACTCCTGTTCACGCGGTACACCCTCAACTGCATCCCTCGACATGGAGAGAACTCTGTTGTGAAGTTGGCAGACGACGCCACCATCATTGGCTGGATTTCAAACAATGATGAGACTTCATATCGGGAGCAAATGGATAATCTTGCAGAGTGGTGTGCAGTGAACAACCTACTGCTCAACGTCTGATCATTGCTTTCAGGAAAAAGGAGATAAAGACACACTCCTGTCTACATCAGTGGTGGGAATCACTATCACAGAGAACCTGACATGGTCATCTCACATCTCCACAATGGGGAAGAAAACACAGAAATGACTGTATTTCTTGAGGAAGTTTTAGAAGGCCTAATTCCTGTGCCAAGTTCTTGTCAGCATTTACAGAGGAGCAATAGAAAGCATGCTGACTGGAAACATCACTAACTGACATGGGATGTGCACGGCCCAGGCTCTGCAGCGGGTGATTAACACTGCTCAGAAGATCATTGGTACCCATCTACTGGGCATCAGTGATATTGGTGAGGTGAGGTGCCTACGCAGAGCCCAAAGGATACTAAAGGACAGTACCCACCCAGCCACAGCCTGTTTACCCTGCTGCCTTCTGGGAAGAGATACAGACGTTTCAGCTGCCGCACCTCCAGACTGCAGGGCAGCTTTCCCCCGAAGCTATCAGACTCTTAAACTCTAATTCATCCTCAGCGCTGCTCCATTGATTATAGTTTATTTCTGTTTACCATTTTTTGCTTCTGCTTCTGTATTAATGTAAATTGTCTGCTATGTAGCAGAAGGGAGTTACAAAACTCAATTTAACTATATAACTTGTTATACTGTGATAAATAACCTAAATGTACCTACCTACCTGCTTATTTTATATAGTCTATTGCTTTGGCAGGGGTTTTCAAAATCTGACACTTTACACTGTGGGCTCCTTTAGACAAAATTGAGACATTATGCTGGACCTTTTTGTTTTCTGTGATTTCTTTTGTGGATGTTTATACAAAGTTGGAATGCAAAATCCCATGACTCATCCATTACAAGCAGAATTCAGAGAGGACTGCTTCACTGAAATGAAGTAGTCGTAAAAACAAGAAATTATCAAAATGTGCCATTGCGTGTCAGAGGTACAGTGCGTAGGTTTTCCTGCCAACATATCACTATGAGACCTTCTGACTTCACTAAAGAGCTCCCCCTTCTCTGCTTGAGTGTGTGCCAAGTTGTAACACAGCTGGTATAGTGCATGTTAGGGTCTAGATGGCTGTTGACTGGGCAGCACTACTGACTGTTCGAATTTAGTCCAAAAATCTGCAAAAAGCACAAGTACTGTTTGTTTGTTAGCAATGAACTTGCCAGATATGCATTAATGCATCTGATGCCTTCATTGTGTTGTGTGATCATTGATTGCAAACGTTAAGATGAGTGACTTTTGCAATGATCTGGTGAAACTAGCTGTGAAGTATTAAAACAGGTTTGAGGCCTCTGTCCCCTGCAGATTGTTAGCAGCTGCTGTCACCCAGTGATGGAAATTAGAGCCTGACAGTCATGTTCCATGCTGGATAAAAGCATAAAGTGTTTAAATTTTATATCTAATTTTGCTGTTTTTGGTTAGACCCATGCTCTAAAATTAGCTAAAATACTATTTTTATAAAATTCTTGTACAGAGAGTGATAGATTTAGTTTATCAATATTTTTACCCTCAAGTGTCCTGTTTGATGCAACATTTGTTCCCCTTCAGGTATGGCCTCAAGTCTTTCAGTCTAGCTATAACAGATGCTTCAGCTTCAACGTAGCTGACCAACCGCTGGAGAAAGGAAGATTAATGGAGAAAAGGCAGAGTTAGGGTAGATATAATGAGGAGGACGATTCCGTAGTCAATGAAGAAATAACTGATGGACAGTGAAGGAGGAGGAAGAAGGCCTGCAGAGATAGAAGAGGAGCATATATTTGGATGGGAAGCTCAGAGAAGCAACAAATTGAAGATGATCAACGAGAGGTTTCCATCTCTCTATATACCATTTTCATTGTTAGTGGCAGGGTCCGCCACTCCAGTGCAAGTTTCAAATTCCTTTCACCTCCATGAGGGATTCACATGAAACAATGCAGCATGTAATCCAGTACTATTGTTTTTAATATAATCTCATTTATATAAGCCTCAATGTTTACTGTTCACTTGCCTACAGCCATGTGAGAGCTATGTTAAATTACTGCTAATGCAAACAAAACATTTCCTACTGCTGCAGCTTCTTCACTTACTTCATTAAGAGCATTCAACTGCTTTTAATGGGCTTTTATTGTGAAAATGTGTTTACAAAACAATACATGGCCATTTTTCTGTTTTTTTTTAAATATCACAGATCATTGTTAAATATTGAAGGAAGTAATGGAAGAAGGAACAGACACAGTGAGCTGAGGATTCGGCTGCAAGGTAACCAACTTCTTTTACTATGCCCTGCTCATGGCATGATGGGTAATGGCTGATTATTGACTGACTTTATTCAGACGTGAGTTTGTCTGGCTGCAACGTAAACAGATATTCCAGCTGCTATTCTGTTGTATTTCTGACACAGTAGCAGCTCAAGGAGTATTTGCTGCTCCCTAACACTAGTGTTTTTTAGTCTTAAATCCAATTTGCTGTTACCACCATTAACCACAAGTGTTGCCAACCAACCAGTGATGGAATGTTAGGGTTTATAACTTTAAGGTATTTGATGAAACCTGAATTTTTTTCCATGATGAGTTGGAAATTGAATTAATACACACAACGTTTCGAAACAACATACGTGTTGACAGAGAGTAGGAAGGAAACAGAAATAAAAAAGTGTTTATGCAAAAGGAGTAGGAACAGAAAAATAACTGGAAAAACATGAATCAAAAGGAGAAGAGCAGAAGCAGGGAAAGCCTGACAGTATAAAGAAAGAGACCGCATACATCAGACATACACAGACTTGAGAAATACCAGTAGCATAAAAATGTGACAAAACAATAAACCAAAAGGTTACTTGGAGACCCAAATCACTGCATGCTGTTTTGGTATTTTGACATTCTCATTTTTCCCGAGTTTGTCTCTCTTTATCATTCATGATGGCACAGTGTTCAGCTGAGAGCGATGTTTGAGAGGAGGGGAAGGGCGCCTGATAGCCGGTGATGAGCTCTCCAGTTAGAGAATCAAGGGAGAGGAACAAGTTTGACCTTCCACCTTGCAGTGTCACCACAGAGACTGCTGCAGCCTCTCGGCCCTCCCCTCCTCCTCACCCACTTTTGTGAGTGTGAGTTTTTGAAGATGACAGTACTTTCTCCGTCTCACTCTCCCTGTGGTTATATATGTATCTCTCTCTCCATCATATGGACGTCCCTGCTGTGTATTCTTCTCCCTGTCATTCAAAATGTAATATGCTGTAGCTTAGTAGCAGACTGCACTGGTGGTACGCGATGAAGAGGAAGGTGTGACTCTCAGTGGCAGATTTTTTTTTCCTTCTCCAAACATTTTGAAAGAAATCTTTTTTTCATTTTCTTTCTTAACCATTTTTTTCTGCCATCTCCCACTTTCTAAAAGGCAAATTTAAGACGTATTAAGAGCCCCTTTCCCACTCTGATCTTTATTTCCAATTACTGTGACATGAGCACCAAGTATGTATGTATTGGTTATGAGCACGTAAGATAAACGTGTAGTTCATACACAGGTCTGTCCTTGTGATCCCCTGCGCACGTGCTAGTAAGACCTCCATACATGCATGAGTGAACATACAAGCAAACACACACAGATACAAACACACACACACAAACACAGCAGGTTTCCCTGAAGTATTTTTAGTTTTGCAAATCTCCACTGTTTGTTTAGACCTGTAATCACGCAATGGTGTGTATGTTGCGGATGTGTGTGTGCAATTACTTGTATGAGACTTTAATATACTGATGAGTGTGAGGTGCTTTGACATGTGTGTGTGTGTGTGTGTGCGTGCATGGTTTGATAGTGGTACAGAAGGCAGTTTGGTAGGTCTACTGTGTTCGGTTTGGGTTAAAGAGACCATGAAATGGCGTAATCTTTTTAATGTGATGTTGAAACAGGATGAGGGCGTTGACGTAACAAGGCAGGATCATTTAAAACTGTAAACCAATGCAATATCAGTTAAAGAGCAAATTGTATTAAGGGTAGCAGGGTGGGATTTATCGAGAAATCTCAATGGCTTTATCACCATAAGGTCACTGTTAAATGAACTGGTTACCATTTTAAGAAATACTCTTATTCACTTTATTTCTGAGAGGGAGATGGAGATGCTATCAATGTCATGTATGTGTGTTGGAGCTCATGCTATGGGTTTGCCTAGCTTAGCATAAAGACTGGAAGTATGGGGAAATAGTTATCCTGGTTCAGTCTTCTAAAGCTTGTTGAATTTGTAAAAAATGACAATTTGTGATTATAATATATTATATGTTGGAGCTATCTGTTAACTAACCAACAATTGCCTTTAAACTTTACGGATTCAGGGGGTCTTTATGGATCACCTTTAAAGCCGAGGCCACTGGACTGGAAAATTAGCTAAAAATACTGTTCTTACTAACTTATTGAGGCCTGTACAGAGAGTGATAGATTTAGTTTATCAATATTTTTACCCTCAAGTGTCCTGTTTGATGCAACATTTGTTCCCCTTCAGGTATGGCCTCAAGTCTTTCAGTCTAGCTATAACAGATGCTTCAGCTTCAACGGAGCTGATCAGCCGCTGGGGAAAGGAAGATTAATGGAGAAAAGGCAGAGTTAGGGTAGATATAATGAGGAGGAAGATTCCGTAGTCAATGAAGAAATAACTGATGGACAGTGAAGGAGGAGGAAGAAGGCCTGCAGAGATAGAAGAGGAGCATAAACTGAATGCACATGAGAGGGTAGGAAGAGAAGTAGAGGAGAAGATGACAAGAAAGACGAGGGAGATGAAGGAGGGGAGATATTTGGACAGAAAGCTCAAATTGAAGATGATCAAAGCAGAGAGTTTCCATCTATTTCTGCAATCGCCTATTACATCCTGTCATTACCCCTCCATACACCATTTTCATTGTTAGTGGCAGGGTCCGCCACTCCTATACAAGTTTCGGATTGCTTTCACCCGCATGAGGGATTCACATGAAACAAAGCAGCATGTAATCCAATATTACTTTGTTTAATTTAATCTCATCGATATCAGCCTCTATGTTTATTGTTCACTCGCCTACAGCTAAGTGAGAGCTATGTTAAATTACTGCTAATGCAAACCAAACATTTCCTACTGCTTCACTTACTTCATTTAAAGCATTCAACTGCTTTTAACAGGCTGTTTCAGGGTGTCTTTATAGATCACCTTTATAGCCAAGGCCACTGGAAGACATATTGAAGTTCTTTGGCTGTAGACCACACCACAACTTTTTTCCAACTTTTTTAAAGGTCATTGAATTTTATCAAAACTTTATTTGTTCTGTTTAAGTATAACATCTGATTCAGAGTCTGATAAAACTGCACAGCTTTTCTGTTTTTACCTCTGCATCTACAATATGATTTTATCTGGTGGTTTTGAATTCAGCATCTGTGTGTGTGGATGTGAAGTCCAATAGTTTCATGGATGTTTCAGGTTGGTGTGAAAGTCTTCATTGATTTCAACCAATTACCCAGGGAGTTACTTAAACATTGAACACACAAATCACTGATTAAATATGTGATGATTAACTGAAACTGTAACAGATATTTATTGCAGTCACAAAAGGTGTGAGAGAGCAAGTCAGCCAGACAAGCAGAGAGGGAGCAGGCATGAAAGTTGCAGTCAGATTGCATATTGAGGCTCATCAGCTTGTGCATTTCCACTGGGCGAGCTACTGTAAATGGAATCCAGTACTTCTAATAGCCATGCACACACACACCAAGCACAATGCAACATAATTGTTATTGGCATCTGCACATCCAGCCTTTTGAAGCATATGCTATTGATTTCCCAGGCACCCCAACCCCCCCCCCAAAAGGATCCCCTTTTTGTGGGTTGGAATCACTCACACACAAATATCAGTTCTCCACTCAGTATGGTTTCATTTTCACTATGCTGTAAATCATCCTTAAGAAACCAGTGCCAACCTGCTGGGCTTCCTTAGTTGAGCCGGTAATTTATTACAATTAGCTGGAGAAAAAGCATTTTCCAGAATCCGGAAATTACAGGAAAGTGCACTGTTTTCTTCTATGGAGAGCTAAATAATACAATTGTGCAGAGTAAAATGTCATAAACTGAAATTTAGAAAATGGTGTTTTCATCTTAAATGTGTTAGTATTTTTGTGCATAGCACAAGATAAATTGTAATTATGTAGCAATTTAAGTTGATGATATTCCAGCCAAAACTGAGGACATATTGTTTTTTGAACCATATTATGGTGCCATGATATGCTTGAAAACATACAGCTTTAGTGAGGAGAAGAAGAAAATGTACTGTGTCATAGCAAGTTTGAGAAATTGATTGTACTTCTCGTGAAATCTGAATGATCAGTAAACATTCAATTTGCCCATGAAAATATTGACTGATAATGAATGAAATAGATAAATATTGTCACTTTGTACAGACATGAAGGATTGATGCTAACTAGCTAGCTAGTTTAATGTATCTTGTTAGAAAACTGGATTATATAATAATATACTATATTGCAGAATATCATTATATGTTTTAGTGGAATCTTCTCTTTCTGATTTGGCTTTCTGTGGTAAAGGATATGTATAGTTTCAGATAGGTAGGAGAAAAATGCAGTTACATACATACATAAATAGATACCATCCGTCCATCCATCGTCAACCGCTTATCCTGCATACAGGGTCGCGGGGGGCTGGAGCCAATCCCAGCTTACATTGGGCAAAAGGCGGGGTACACCCTGGACAGGTCGCTAGTCCATCGCAGGGCCATAAATAGATACAATGCAAAATATTTTTTGTCTATAAATGGAGAAAGTACTCTTGCTACTCTCTCTAGGATGGACCGTCCTGCCAAGATGACTGCAAGAGCACAGCATAGAATGCTCAATGAGGTTCCTGATCCTAGAGTGTCAGCTGATGAAAAGAAATGGAACGTGCTAACATCTTTGTTGATAACAACATGATACGTAAAACACTGAACAAGAATGGAGTTCATGGGAGGACACCACGGAGGAAGCCATTTCTGTCCAAAAAACAAAACAAAACATGCTAAGTTTGCAAAAGTTCCACAGCACTACTGGCAAAATATTGTGTGGACACAAAGTTGATTTGTTTGGAAGGAACACACAACCCTATGTGTGGAGGAAAAAAGGCACTGCACACCATCAATAAAATCTCATCCCAACTGTGAAGTATGGTGGAGGGGGCATCATGGTTTGGGGCTGCTTCTCTGCCTCAGGGTTGCTATAATCGACTGAAAAATTAATTGGAAAAATTTTGCAGGAGAATGTAAGGC